ATAGGTGCAATCGGCTTCCCCCACAATGGAATCTCAAAAATTAAATTTCTTAACCACTCCGCCTCTTTACCGGCGGTAGCCAACGCAACAAACTCAGATTCCATTGTTGAACTTGTGATACAAGTTTGCTTCTTGGATGCCCAAGAAATGGCACCTCCCCCAAGCAAAAATACCCAACCACTTGTAGAAGAGTGATCCTCTACATTGGATATCCAACTTGCATCCGAATATCCTTCTAATACCGAAGGATACTCAAAGTAACACAAACCATAATCCATGGTTCCCTTTAAATACTTGAACACTCTCTTCATTGCTTGCCAATGTTGAGTACTAGGATTACTAGTAAACCGGCTCAACCTACCCACGGCATAAGCAATATCCGGCCGAGTGCTTGTCATGGCATACATTAAACTACCAATAGCTTGAGAGTACTCAAGTTGTGATACCGCCTTTCCTTTATTAGGCATCAACTTCACACTAGGATCCATGGGAGTACCAACGGGTGAACAATCACTATAATTAAACCTTTTGAGAATATTCTCAACATAGTGAGCTTGTGTCAAAGCAATCCCTTTGTTTACCCGTTTAATCCTTATACCAAGGATCACATCCGCCTCCCCCATGTCCTTCATGGAAAACCTTGATGATAACAACCTTTTGGTTTCATCAACCTGATTTTGGTCCGTTCCAAAAATCAGCATGTCATCAACATAGAGACATATGATAACACCCGCCCCTAAAGCATCAAAACGGCTATAGACACACTTGTCCGATTGGTTTAAACTAAAACCATTGGATAAAATAACTTCATCAAACTTTTGATGCCATTGTTTGGGTGCTTGTTTCAGCCCATACAATGATTTAACAAGTTTACAAACCTTATGCTCATTTCCCGGCATAACAAAACCTTCCGGTTGTTTCATGTAAACTTCCTCATCAAGATCGCCATTTAAAAATGCCGTCTTGACATCCATCTGATGTATAATCAAATTGTGTATAGCCGCCAAAGCAATTAACAACCTAATGGTTGTAATTCGAGCAACCGGCGCATACGTGTCAAAATAGTCAATTCCGGGTTTTTGTCTAAAACCTTGAATGACCAACCGAGCCTTGAACCTGTCAACAGTTCCATCCACTTTCATCTTCTTTTTGAAGATCCATTTGCAACCTAAGGGTTTAGAACCCGGTGGCAAATCCGACAACACCCAAGTGTTGTTCTCCATAATTGATGACATTTCATCATCAATTGCCTCCTTCCAAAAGGCAACATCTCGGGATTCCATTGCCTCTTTAAAGGTCTTTGGATCATCCTCAACTTGGTAACAATATGAATATTGTACCCCCGTTTCATCCCTTGAACCTTCCACTAAATACAAGTGAAAATCGGGACCAAAGTCTTTCACGATGCGGCCTCATTTGCTTTTCCTTATTTGTGGTGCTTCGGAATTCAAAACACCATCCAAACATTCTGGAACTTGCACCTCACTAGTGCCTGGAACTAGGTCCTTTGGTCTTTGAATTGATGAAAATCTCATCTCATCAAAGATCACATCCCGAGACTCAATCACGGTGTTAACCGCTACCGCATCATTAGGTTCTATTACATAAAACCTATAAGCCTTGGAATGTTCAGCATACCCTATGAATATGCAATCAATTCCCCTTTCCCCCAAAGTTTTCCTTTTGGGCTCGGGCAATTTTACAACCGCCCTACAACCCCAAACCCGAAAATATTTCAAATTCGGCGCTTTCTTGTACCAAAGCTCATATGGGGTTGTCTTGTTCCTTTTATTTGGAACCCTATTTAGAACATAGCAGGCCGTGAGCATGGCCTCTCCCCAAAACCCTTCACTCAAACCCGAGTAGGAAAGCATGGAATTAACCATTTCCTTTAACACTCGATTTTTCCGTTCGGCCACACCATTTTGTTGTGGTGTATACGGAGCCGTGGTCTCATGAATGATTCCAACAGATTGAAAATAATGGGGATCCATATATTCTCCTCCCCGATCAGTCCTAAGACATTTAATTGGATTACCCAATTGCAATTCAACCTCGGTTTTATACACTTTAAATTTCTCTAAAGCTTCATCTTTGGTGTGTAATAAATACACATAGCAAAACCGAGTCGAATCATCAATAAAAGTAACAACATACTTTTTATTGCCAAGGGAAGGAGTTGAGTGAAAGTCACATAAATCACTATGTACAAGATCCAAAATAGCTGAATTCCTTTCAACATTAGGAAACGGTTGTTTTGTGATCTTAGTAAGCATGCAAGTCCTACACTTATCATCATTAATACCAAAAGCAGGAATTAAACCATCTTTAGACATTTCATGCATTTTTCTAACATTAATGTGAGCTAGTCTAGCATGCCAAATCATACAATCATTCATGGAAGATGCCACAAAAACAGAATTATCACTAGGAATTAATTTATTCACAACATTTAAACGAAACATGCGATTTGATAAATATCCAAAACCAACAAACACACCACCCTTGGACAGAATATATTTATCGGATTCAGTCACTTGTTTGAACCCTAAATTATTCAACATACTTCCCGAAACAAGATTCTTTCGAACCTTCGGTACATACAAAACATCAAACAACGTAATTGTTTTCCCAGAAGTAAATTCTAAAACAACTACACCCTTTCCCAAGATAGGCACCATTGACTCGTCTCCCATGCGTAATAAGGAACCGACCTCCACTGGTTCTAGGTCTTCAAACCATCCTTTATCCTTACACACATGGCTCGTAGCCCCCGAGTCAATCCACCATGCACAGACATCATCCTGTACATAAAAAGATTCTGGAATGAGTGATACATAATTCTGGACAGAATTATCAAAGTTAGTCAGGAACTGACCTCCTTTCCGTGGAACCAGGTCCTTAGACCGTTCCTGTCCACTGCCACTCGTTCCAGCGCCATTCTTGTTCAGTTTCACACGGCAATCGCGCTTGACATGTCCAACCTTTTGACACCTCCAACAAACCAAACCTTTCGGTTTCTTGTTGGGTTTGTCATGGTCTTCATACTTGCGCTTTTTGCCTTTCCCCTTATCTTTCGGGTTAGATTTATTATCCTCAACCAAGTGAACATGAGCCATTCTAGATTCAACTTCACCCATAATTTGGTCATTCTCTTGCACACGAAGATTCTCCTCAATGCGCAAGTGACTCCCAAGTTGAACCAAGGACAGTTCCTCATCTTGATGTTTTAAAGAACGTTTAAAATCCTTCCAAGAGGGTGGAAGTTTGTCAATTATACTCGACACGGCATAGGACTCATCAACACCTATCTTGTGGAGTTTAAATTGACCAAGAACACGAAGGAGTTCATTGTATTGTTCCATAACCGGCCTTGAGTCAACCATTTTATAATTATTAAAATCACTCACCAAGAACTTCTTACTAGAAGCATCCTCGGCGATGTATTTTGACTCAAGAGAATTCCACAATTCCTTAGCACTCTCAACGTTTTGGTAAATATCAAATAACGCATCAGACATACCGTTAAGGATGTGGCCTCTACATATGTAGTCATCGTTCTCCCACTTGTTGCGCCTCCTAGTTTGTTCCAAGGTTTCATCTTCCATCACCTCCGGCATTGGAGTGCTCAACACGTACACAACCTTCAACGTGGTGAGAAGAAAATGCATCTTTTTCTGCCATCTACGGAAATCGTTGCCTTGAAACTTGTCCAATTTGTTGAACTTGGATGTCATCTCTTCCACGGTACTCATGATTATCACAAAGGGATATCAATTCGATTGTTGGGGTAAATCACGTAGGGGGTGATAATTCGAGTACTTGGATATCTTAAGGATCGTGTAAGTTCACTTTCCGAATTGATATTTCTCCCCTATGCCTGGGTTACAAGAAATTCAATCTAGGATAATCCTTAAGGACACTCTAGAACTTAGGCACAAGAACTAGAGCCAAACTAGTGAGTATATGGATTGCTATCTTTAATTTGAGTGCCAAAGTGATGAAGATATGTTGGATATGATTCCTCCTTCTCCTCTGTACGAAATATGGTGGTATCTATCCATATTCATCGTCCTAGGCAGTAGTAACACGATTAAGAATAACCGCAGCAGTTTTTGGGAAACTGCTGGAAACTGCCTAACCGTTCTAGAACTCGGTCTAGAACCACAGAGCTGGTCTACTGAAAGTTATACCTCGAGTTCTACCTCCAGTTCCACTAACGTAGACACTTTGGAACTAAACTAGTTCTTATATACAAGTGTGCACTCCACACCTACTAACTTGTATTAGATCATAGTTCTAATTCCCATTGGCACTCATGTCATTTCCAATTACACAAAATGGCCGGTGACACTAAAATCACCAACAACCAGTTACTACTCTGGCACACTTCCTGGGAAAATAGAGATCATTTTGAGAATATTCCATCACACAGAACAGATTCGAATCTTAAAACAAGAATGATCCAAATATCCTGAATACTTCTTAAATGAAAATATAGTTCAACCAACACACTACAAAACCATGACGGAGTTCTATATTTACATACTCGAATAAATAAAAATAGATATATGGACACACTGGATTTCCATATAGTACAACTGTACAGCTGATCAAGACTTCAAGAGAATAACAATCCATTCAGCCACATGTAAACTTGTAAAATGACACAAAACCACGGATCCCGAAAAAAGACTAAAAGATGTATTTTTGACAGATTGATGCCTACTAAGTTCAGACAATTTTTTACTTCTTATAACATAAGTTGACTCACTTCACTGAAGCAGAAAAATCATGCGATCAATCAGTCAAAATACAAAAGATAAAGAAACTGCAAGATCAGAGCACTGATTAGGTGATTCGGGATGAAAAAGCAACAAAAACAAAACAACATAATCAGAACAGCTTGAAGTGAAATTTAATAATCAACAAGAATACAGTGTGATCTTAAAAAAATGGTTTGATTATTATAAAATCAAATTATTCACATAATTAATGTACATAGATATACACCTAACACAATTAATAAGACTACCAAATCATTACTAACATTTAACTTTGACATTATGAAACTCATACTTTCATATGAGATAAGGCTTTATATCATATGTTCATATGATATATCTCACTAGCTTTACATCATTAATTTCCATATATGCATGTAAACTAGCAATAATTTACAGCCAAGCACAATTACCTCATTATTCAAATCATTGAGAATTGCACATAATTGTTCATGAGGCAGATTCTTTTTGAAAGCACCTAATAGCATATCAAACTTTCTTGAAAGTGTAGAAACTTGAGCTTGAAGAATAGGAACTTGTGGGTCTTGTATGGGCACTTGTGGTTGTTGAGAGGATGAAGCACATTTATCCTTCATGACTGTAAATCCTACGCAACGAATGCGCCCTCTTTTTTCTGGACCTTTCACTTTGGCTAAATCATCATTTCTGTAATCAACCGGGCCTTCAGAATCTTGAATATCATTTTCCTCATTCATCACATTGTGAAGAGCTTCCTAAATAAAGAGAATAACATTACAAGTTTAGTTCAGTTCTTAAACATGACACTAATCTCATTAAAAGTCTACTAATATGTAAGCATGGATTAATATAATAGTAAAGAACGGCCTGATCAGAAAAGTTTGGTTTCTCGTCATGCAGAACCCAACTTACTTTTTTTATACCAATAAAAGACACTTCATATCAAATAGGTGAGTATGTAATAGATAAAAGTTAAAGAAACAACATCAGACCATGCAACAGACTACTTAGACCAGATCAACTACAAAATACTACATCTGCTTCAAAAAATTTGAGACACGCGAAAGTACTACAATTATTAAGAAAACTGGTTAGATATGCGGAAAAAAATCGACGTTTGAAATCAACTACTTCACAAACTTTTGATCTTATGAGAGCCCACACATTCAATTTTTAGATGAGGTTTAAAGTCAAATCCATGTTAATAGACATATTTGTGGAGAGCAAGTGTAATACTCCATATAAGCATGTCTCATAATACTGATTTGCAAACTTCTAAACAGGATAAAAAAATTGCAAGCTCAAAACATAGTACCACAACTGCAGTTGCTGCAGAATTGATAATAGTGCCATTTTTTCGAGTTCGAGTTCTAATGAATAACTTCCCACGTGTTGGTAGAACGCCGTTATTCTTTGTAGCCTGTGGAAATAAATATAACATATAGTTATTTTAATTTTGTTACCAAATGTAGTTCATGTACTGTGGGAAATACAAATGATGAAAACCCATTAAATTATTGCAATCACCTCTTCTTCCGCAAGTCTAGCAAAAGATTTTGATCCAGTGATGTGTGGCTCTTTATTCTTCGACCGACTCCTTTTTTTTACTTCACACATTGCCTAATATTATCAAGTCAGAAAGAAATGAACGAAACAATCATCAAAAGAGTCAGTGGAAATAATTTATCAACTTTGTATTCTTCTAATGATGAAAAACTATCTTATTAGCTAGCATCAAATAACCTGGAACTCTGGATCAACCCAAGTCTTAACAAGCTCTTTAAACTGAGACTTGTTAACCCTCTTATCAGTCTCATTTGTTACCATTTCATCAACAGTTAGGGCTGGATCATAATTCCGTTCTTTCAAAGTGTTTTTCCACGACTTCCACTTCGATCCCATATTTGCAATTATCCATTTCTTAACGTCTCTAGTTTCAGCCGGTAGGAATTTGAATTTCTCCTGCATAATTTTTTTTGCAAGGTAGCTAAGAATCCTTTGAAAGTGTGATTGTCAGTGATAAATAAGTGGAATTTGGATACAAGAATTTGTATCAAAATGAAAGATGAACTAACATAATCAGTAAAGTCGTAGCATGTATGATTTTGGTGGACATACTAATGCATTTGTAATCAAGTTTCTTTTTAATTTATTTTTTCAGTTTATATATATCTAATCATATTTTCTTTTACCCATCATCACAAACCTACAACTCTTTAAAACAATGAATAAATTATAAAATCAGAATCCACATTTTTTATAAAGCATGTTCAATAACTTAATAAAAAAGTTCAGAATCAAATAAAGTGATTCTTATTGACAGGAGTAAAAATTGAGCAACTAAATAGTATCTAAAAGTCCATGATAGTCTTTTCTCTAAAGGACTAAATAGTTAAATAGTCCATGATAAAATTATCTTTAAAGCAACAATTGCACATGTAGTCGGCTCTTAACAAAATATATGATTAAAAAACAAATAAATAGTTATTACACATGAAATGGACATTGTAGGATCACATTCTTGCAAATAATAAATTGGGAAGATGGCTTATTTTAATATCCAGAAGATGTTATAATTACCTTCACAATGCTCCATAAAGTTTCCTTTGTTGTATAAGAGACATCTCTCCATTCATCAAAGTTTATTCCAACATGACTTGACATTTTCACAAGAGTGCCGAGGAACTGAGTTAGTTCGTTTCCTTCTTCTCCTATAGGCTGTGCCATGTCATTAAATTTAACAGCTATTCTTGAGTCTCCTTTTAGCTCCCAAATTCCAAGTTTTTGTGTTGGTCCTCGAACCTTCTTAGCAACACCTTTAAAATAAGATAGAAATGCTAAAGTGTATGCTTATAAAATAAGTAGCACTATTAGTGTTGAAAAGTCTAAAAATTATTAAAGACCTGATGCTTGAGAACTGTGTGCATTAGCTGAAACAGAAGGTTCAGAAGATTCTCCCTCATTTGTTGAAGCATTTCCAGAATCGAATTGCTTCCCAAAGCTTTGGTTCTGTCTTTGATTTTCACTTGACTCCAACTCTTCATCTCTAATAGATTGTTGCACAATTGGGGTTTTATTGATTGAGACGATGTTCAACCTCTTACGTTTTGCCATCCCTAGTCAAAGCAGTACAATAAAAGTTGGTATTACAACATTTAAGTGAACATTTTATACTATTTACATATTCAATAACATACACATGCAAACAGAAAACAACTGGTTAAACAAAATGCTACAATAATGTTACTGAAGCATAAAGTATTTATACATAATAAAGGAAAAACTAGTAAAAGAAGTTTCAGTAGTAAACATTTGGTGATAGACTCCAAATATAAAACATAACATGAGTCTTTCAGTGATAACAATTTGAGTATTTAAGTAGCAGTTTTGTTAGTTTATTCGTCTTCTTCATCACTAGCTTCCTCTTCCATTGGTAGAGTGACATCAAGTTCATCATCTTCATCGTCTCCAACTCTATGCAAGTTTGGAACGTCAAATATAACATCATTTGATGTATTTCTTTGATCTGCATTATCTCCTAGTTCAAACATGTCCCTCACTTTGACATGTCTCACAACCAACCAATCTTTTGACTTGGAATCTTTAGCGTAGAAGACTTTGTGAACTTGGGAAGCTAGAACAAATGGATCATCAAGCAAATTCGCTCCCGTGTGTGTCAAATATGAAAAGTTAACTAGTGTTGCTCCCATATCATCTTTCTTCACACCTCTATTCACATCAACCCAGTCACACTTGAATAAAACAACTCGCAGTTTACCAGAATAGTTCAACTCAATGATGTCATTGAGTGATCCATAATAATTTATCACTCCAAAAATTGGTCTTTTATCACGGGGACTTGCAAAACATTCACCCTTTACTGTCACAACCACGCCACTGTTTTGCGTTTTCAAGAATCTCTCATGTTCCTTTGTGTGAAAGCGATACCCCTTAACAAAATATCCAGAATACTTCTTCACTGAAGTGTGAGGACCAAGGGCAAGCCATTTTATTTCCTCACTTACTCTTGCATCTCCTTCTTCTACTAAACGTGATACCTGTATAAATGTAGATATGTTATGAGTTAGAATATGCTTTAATATAATTTGCAAACACAGGTTTTCTAATCACAAATTACCCGTTTTTGGAACCATTCACTAAATTGCTGGCAATGAAGTTTCTCAAGTTCATATTCAGATGGCCTTCGTGAACGATGTCTACTCTTGACAATTGACTTATGTTCCCTTCAAATGAAAAAGTATTATAAATAAATCAGAAAGGAAGGCACCCCACAAGAAAGAATGAACCAAATGAATAGACAAATAAATATTAAAGTCAAATGAATAAACAAATGTTAAACTCACTCTCTAAATGGTATGATTGACTCAACATTAAACAACACATAGCGATGCCCTTGTATCATTAACTTCTCATCAAGAACCTGATGGTTAACTCTTTTTCGCTTCTGAAAGGACACATTAGATTGATTTTTTTGTTGTAATGGACGCCCAGGACAAAGTAAATTTATTTCTTCAATTTCATTTTGTTCACCCTCATCATAATTTCTTATGGGCCGAGTAAAAACTGTCTCAACTCCAGAGAGATAACGGGAGACAAAAGTTAAGCTTTCCATAGCTAAATATCCTTCAGCAATCGAGCCCTCTGGACAAGCCCTATTATGCACGTAGGACTTCAGAGTTAGAAGTTCCCTGGAAAAAAAATTACAAATCAAGAGCTGTGAGTTTCAAAACACATATAGTTGTACATAAGAAAAATGAAATTAGTTTTAAAATAAGATACCTTTCAATGGAATACATCCACCTAAAAGTTAGCGGTCCTCCAAGTCTTATTTCTTCAATTAGATGGATCACCAAGTGCACCATTATAGTAAAGAAAGAAGGGGGGGAAATTTTCTCTAGTTTGCAAAAAGTTGTTGTAACCCTCATTTCAAGAAACTGAAGATCCGGTTCAGATAAGTCTTTACAACAAATTCCCTTAAAAAAATCACATAACTCAATGATAACCAAGGCCACGTTATCTGGCAATGTCCCTCTTAATGCAATTGGCATATATTCTTGCATCAGCATGTGACAATCATAAGTTTTCAGCCCTATAAGTTTTTTTTCTTTCAATTGCACACAACGAGATATGTTGGAAGAAAATTCATCTGGAGGTTTGATAAGCTTGAGGGTTTTCAAGAAAGCATCCTTCTCGGGTCGAGTCATTTGATAACATGCTCGAGGCAAGTATGTAGTATTGGTCACCAGACGCTTTTTCGGATGCAGTTGTTTTTTTATACCCATATTTTGCAGGTCCAGCCTTGCTTTATAATTATCTTTTGACTTTCTGCCTTGTCCCAACAAAGTCCCAAATATATTCTCCCACACATTTTTTTCTATATGCATGACATCGAGATTATGACGTAACAACAAATGTTTCCAATATGGCAACATAAAAAAAAATGCTTTTCTTTTTCCATGGACCATGATCAGTATTATCACTTAGGAATTCAAGACAGTCTACTTGTTGCAAAGCAGAATGTCCCGATACAGGAGTAGGAGCAACTCGTAGCTCTTGCTTTCCATCAAAACATTGGGCCTCATATCGCCACCTATGATTAGATGGAAGCCATCTCCTGTGACACATATAGCAAAATTTTCCGCCATATTTAAGCCATTTTGAATGATAGAACACTGGATAAATCAGAACAATTTCAAACAGTATATCAATCTCAAGTAGTAAGAATTGAGAGAATTAGGGTTTATTGATCTGAGAACAAGAAACGAGTACAAAGAAATGGGTGGGACAGTTCGAGATGCCCAATCTCCTACAAGCCAGTCAACAAGTCTAACAGCCTGTCTAAAAATAACTAACTCCTTCTATTTATAGTCATTTATCCACGCAGGGATAATAGAACTGACTTAACAGACTATTAACTACCCAACTTCCTATTTCTTCTTGTGTATACTCTGTCAAAATAATGAGCTGGCAGCTGCTCGTGTCTATCAATACTCCCCCCCTGAAATATCACCTTGTCCTCAAGGTGAAACTCTGGGAAGTAGTTCTTCATCTCCTGCACATTCTCCCAAGAATTCTCAAAGTCTGGCAGTTCCTTCCACTTAATCAGGATTTCAGTTTGCCCTTCTTTGTTTATTCTAGCCTCCAACGCCTTCTCAATGTTACTTGTAATTCCAAATCCTCCTTCAGGCATTTGGGTAAGGGTTGAAAGAAAGTGGTAGGGGATATCACCTTCTTTAATAAGGAAACATGGAAAACAGGATGTATTCTGCTTTCCTCAGGAAGTCTCAATCTGAATGCCACTTCACCTATCTTCTCCATTACTTCAAAAGGGCCATAAAATCTGGGGCTCAATTTCTGATTAAGCCTTTTAGCCAAACTCCTTAGCTTATAAGGCTGAATTTGATTGGCTTGTTGTCTCATTTGATTCTGTGCTTTAGCAAGATTCTCTTTTAGCTCATCTAGCATACAATTTCTCTGTGCAGTCAGTCTGGATACCTCTTCTACAGTAGTTAGATTGACATCACCTCTAATTACTGCAGGAGGTTCTTGTCCAAATAAGGCCTGATAAGGTGTTTGTTTTAAAGAAGCATGAAAATTTGTGTTGTACCAAAACTCAGCCCAATGCAACCATTTGCTCCACTGTCTTGGTTTGCTACCAGTCAAGCACCTTAAGTACGTTTCTAAGCATCTGTTGACCACCTCTGACTGGCCATCAGTCTGAGGATGATATGCTGTACTATATTTAAGTTGAGTGCCTGCCAACTTAAATATTTCAGACCAAAATGAGCTCATGAAGATGCTGTCTCTATCACTGACTATGGTTTTAGGAAACCCATGAGTTTTGACCACCTCCTTGGTAAAAACTTCTGCCACTTCTTTAGCATTGAAAGGATGTGAAAGTGCTATGATGTGAGCATATTTAGTCAGTCTGTCAACCACTACTAGAATAGTGTCTTTCCCCTCAGATTTAGGTAATCCACCTATAAAATCCATAGTAATATCTGTCCAAATACTGTTAGGAATTGGCAGTGGTTGTAGTAATCCAGAAGGTTTCAAGGCCTGATACTTGTTTGTCTGACATACTGCACATCCTTCCACATATTTCTGTATCTCTTTCTTCATCCCTTGCCAATAAAACAAGTTTGATATCCTTTTCATAGTTCTGAAGTACCCTGAGTGTCCCCCCATGGCTGTGGCATGATATTCCATCAAAATCTTAGGAATTCTGGTCGATGAACTAGGTAATACTAGTCTGCCCCTGTAATATAATAACCCCTTGGAGATCTTATAATCCTTGTACTGATCTGGCTGAGATATAATCTTCTGAATCAGTCCTTGACACTTAAGATCTGCTTTCAATTCTTCTTCTAAACCTTCCCACTCCTGGCAAGTAACAATGGATAAGGCTTTCAGATAAGGTATCCTGGATAATGAATCAGCTGCTTTATTTTCTTTTCCTGGCTTGTATCTGATAGTGAAGTTATACCCTAATAACTTTGATGTCCATCTTTGTTGCTCATCCCCCATCAATCTTTGCTCTGTTAGAAACTTCAAACTCTTTTGATCTGTATGTATCTCAAAAGGTCTTCCCAGAAGATATGGCCTCCACTTTTGAACTGCCAACACCACTGCCATTAACTCTCTTTCATAAACAGATTTCTGCTGATTCCTTTTTGATAATTCCTTACTCATATATGCAATTGGTCTTCCTTCTTGCATCAAAACTGCCCCCAGACCTGTTCCTGATGCATCAGTCTCTAGAATGAATACTTTATCAAAATCAGGTGTAGCAAGAACTGGTAGAGTAGTCATTCTTCTCTTTAATTCCTCAAATGCCAAAGTTGCTGATGGTCCCCATTGAAATTTATCTTTCTTCAAAAGCTGAGTTAGAGGTAAAGCAATGTGACTATACCCTTTGACAAATCTTCTATAATACCCAGTCAGTCCAAGGAAACCTCTCAATCCTTTTAAATCTTTGGGTATTGGCCACTGAACCATAGCCTCAATCTTGGTAGGGTCTGCAGCTACACCCTGACCAGAAATGATATGACCCAAATAGACTAACTGAGATCTGCCAAAAGAACACTTCTTTGAATTTATAACCAACTGATTAGCATTCAAGGCTTGTAATACTTTCCTCAAATGTTCCTTATGATCTGTCCTTGATTTACTGTATATGAGGATGTCATCAAAGAAAACTAATGAAAACTTCCTCAAATAAGGTCTAAGAACCTGGTTCATGAGGGCTTGAAAAGTTGAGGGTGCATTAGTGAGACCAAAGGGCATTACTAGGTATTCGTAATGGCCTTCATGGGTCCTGAATGCTGTCTTCTGTCTGTCTTCTTCTCTCATTCTGATCTGGTGATAACCAGATTTCAGATCCAGTTTGGAAAAAATCTTAGCTCCACCCAGTTCATCAAGCAGTTCTTCTATGATGGGTATAGGGAATTTATCAGGTATTGTGATTTTGTTTAAGGCCCTGTAATCCCCACAGAACCTCCAGCCCCCATCTTTTTTTCTTGCTAGAAGAATGGGGCTGCTATAGGGGCTGTTACTTGGTTGAATGATCCCTTCATTTAGCATCTCTTGTATAATTCTTTCTATTTCTGTCTTCTGGTACTGAGGGTATCTATATGGCCTCAGGTTTGGGATTCTAGCTCCTTCTTGTATCTTTATAGCATGGTCACAATCTCTCTTGGGTGGCAGTTTCTTCAAAGGTTGAGAAATAGTAGGAAATTCAGCCAGTATCTTTTTCCAAGTCTCCTCCTCTTCATTTTCTTCTTGTTCACTTTTGACATTGCCTTCACAGTATATGAAATACCCTTCTACCCTTCTCCAGCATCCTGTAATATCTGAGTAGTTGTCTTGAAAGACACCTCCATTGAATTGAATTGTTTATCCCCTTGAATCAGCTTTTCTTCCCCATTTTCTTCCCACTTTATTGATTGCTTTTGGAAGTTAATCTCAACATCTCCCAAAGTAGTAAGCCAAGCCATTCCCAATACCATATCAGTGCCTCCCAACTCTAAGATATAAAAATCCTGTTGTATTGTTGTGTCTTGCAAACATACATTGAATGCCTCACATCTCGCATTATTGCATATCTTGTCCCCATTTCCTATCTGCACTTTATAACCATTGATGGTAGTGTAAGGAATCTGCAGTTTATCCACCATCTTCTGAGCAATGAAATTGTGAGAAGCTCCACTATCAATCAATACTTCCACATTTATTTCTCCCCATGCTCCTTTGATAATACCTCTGATTTTGAATGCTCTTAAAGAAGGAATACCTTCTTTGCTCATCAAGGATAGTTGCATGGATTTGGATTCCATCAAGATCTCTTCCTCCTCTGAACTATTATCTTCTGAATTATCTGAATCATCCTCTTCTGCTGAATCTTCTACCATGATCAACTTGTAGTGTTTTAGTTTACAAATATGTTGGTGATTCCATTTGTCTCCACATTTAAAGCAAAGTCCTTTTCTGCTTCTATTCTGATATTCTTCTTGAGATAACTGTGGGCCCACCTTCTTGAATGCAGAAGGTTGGATCTCTGTGATATTCTTCCCCATGGATTTTACCCCAGAAGACTCTCCTTTGTACTGCCCTGCACCTTTTCCCATAGAACTGTACCAAGAGTTATTAGCCCGGGCTTTGTAATTATCTCCTTCAGAATGAGATTTGTTAACATAAGCACCCTTTTCTTTTCTCCCATATCTGTCTTCCTCCATTCTTTTCAACTGTATTGCATCATTTTTTTGTTCTATCAAAGTAGCCTTCTCCATAATTTCAGTCAAGGATTTTGAGACATATAATTTCAGTTCTGCTTTGATTTCATTCTTCAAACCCTTAATGAAAACACCCCTCAGCAGCTCTCTGTCTTTGTTTTTCTGATGAGATGTCACCATTTCAAATTCATCTTTATAATCCTGTACAGATCCTGTTTGTTTCAGACTTAACAAATGATCATATGGATTCTGAATTAATTCTGGTTGAAACCTACGTATGACAGAGTTCTTTAGGGTCTCCCAATCAGTTACTTCAGTTTGACTTTCCCACACATGAAACCAGTTTAAAGCCCTGTCCTCCATTGCCACCATAGATGCTTCAACCCTTTCTTCCTCATCAATATTATTCAGTCTGAAATATCTTTCCATGCGTATGACCCAATTATATGCACCAGTTCCATTAAACAGGGGTAAGTCAATCTTCCTACCAGACTGTATAGGGTTTCTATAATCCTCATTTCTTCGTCTGTGATTTTGAACATGAGAGTGAGTAGAATTACCTCTGGAATGACTCGGACTACTTGAGTTTCTCGATCGATGAGTTTGTGGCGATCGCGATCTCCTTCTTCCGCGCCTTTCATCGTTCATCGTATCCAACTTCTCCGTTAGTTTCGCGATCGCAGCTTGCATCTGAATCAAGGTTTCTTGCGTCGTATTTTGGTTACGCTCCATCGCCTCCATCTTCTGTTCCATTTTTGCTCTGGTTCGAACCATTCACAGCAAGAACGGGAAAAAATTTCTGGTAATTCAACGAAGGATTAGGTCACCAGAAAAGATGCTCTGATACCAATGATAGAACACTGGATAAATCAGAACAATTTCAAACAGTATATCAATCTCAAGTAGTAAGAATTGAGAGAATTAGGGTTTATTGATCTGAGAACAAGAAACGAGTACAAAGAAATGGGTGGGACAGTTCGAGATGCCCAATCTCCTACAAGCCAGTCAACAAGTCTAACAGCCTGTCTAAAAATAGCTAACTCCTTCTATTTATAGTCATTTATCCACGCAGGGATAATAGAACTGACTTAACAGACTATTAACTACCCAACTTCCTATTTCTTCTTGTGTATACTCTGTCAAAATAATGAGCTGGCAGCTGCTCGTGTCTATCATTGAAGCGGTATCAAAGCCACATAAAGGACAAGCAAACTCTCCTTTAGTGCTCCATCCAGAGAGATTTGCATATCCAGGAAAGTCAGAAATCGTATAAAGTAAAGTTGCTTTCATTTGAAAATTATCTTTGCAACTCGCATCAAAAGTCTCAACTCCAACCTCCCACAACTCTTTCAATTCTTTTAAGAGAGGTTGCATATAGACATCTATCTTATTGCCTGGACCATTGGGTCCAGGGACAATTAACGATAGAATGAAGTTGGGTTGTTTCATAACCAACCATGGAGGTAAATTACATGGAATTAAAATAACGGGCCAAATACTATAACTGAGATTCATTGTCTTGAAAGGGTTAAAACCATCACTTGAAAGGGCTAAACGAATGTTTCTTGGGTCACTAGAAAACTCGGGGAACTTTTTGTCGAAGTCCTTCCATGCTGCACCATCAGCTGGAGCCTGGATGTCGCAGCTTTCCATCATCTGTGCGCTCTCTATGATGCCATTTCGTAAGGTCAGATGTTTTTGAGGACATAAATAATCTTTGGAGCCTTGGTTTCAAAGGAAACCACCGCAAAATCTTAGCTGCTTTTTTACTTTGGGTGTTTACCATGTCACTTATGTCACTTATATTATCTGTAGAAACTTTCCATCTTGATTCTCCACAAATCGAGCACACTTCTTCTTTATCCTTATCACCCCAAAACAACATACAATCATTTGGGCATGCATGGATCTTTTCATATCCTAAACCTAGATCTCCAAGCAATTTTTTCACTTGATAAGTCGTTTTTGGCAGCAAGTTCTGTTCTGGGAGTAAATCTTTTAAAAACTCCAGCAGCATTGAGAAAGACTTGTTGCTCCAACCATTCAGACACTTCAAATGAAACAAATGCACTAAACAGGAAAGTTTGCTATACTTTGAGTTTGGATACACTGCTTTTTCAGAATCCTTTAATAGGTCATTGAACTTGTCTCTTCTAGACTTAAAGTTTGGAGGATCACTAGAATCACCCAACCCGGTGCTCCATTCGTGCTCCTCCATGTTAGAAGCACTTTCTTCTACATGGACAGGTTGAAACAAGTCATTCAATAATTCTCTCATGTCATGCCCAATCACCCCTTCTTCAACAGTTGGCATTGAACATGAAGATGATGATATTCTGTGTTCTCCATGATCTACCCATTCAGTGTATTCGTTTCGAAATCCATTACATATTAAGTGATCAAATAGTTCCCCCCGTGTGTGAACGGGGGAAACATATTATAACACCTTTTACATGGGCATAAAACTTTTCCATCATGACTTGATCTCTCAAAAGCAAATTTTATAAAGCTCTCTACTCCATTTACAAACTGTTCGCTAGACCTCGGAGTAAAATACATCCAAGATCTATCAGTCATGATTCTGCTAATAGGCTGAAACTAAAAGGGGATGAACCATAAATTATACATTGATGAAATTTGATTAAAAGAAATAAGTAAATCTAATAATATATATGTGTGTGTAAGTAGAATTTCTAATGACATATCACAAAGCACAAATATATAATAGATTGTGTATCTTTTTATTCACTATATCGATTGACAGCATTTTTGTAACCTCAATAAGAGGAGAATAAGAGGAGAAGAGGATGATTTTATGTAATATAAAGTTCAGAGGACTGCAACTTTCACTAATAAGATGGCATTTAACATAAAACAAGTAAAGCAATATGGAAATCAATTGTTTCTATATGGTTCGTTCCTGCTAAATATTTCATGTACTATTTATAGTACATTTAAAAAAGTTATCATTGTATTAAAACAATCTATCCTAATTAGATATCCATTTGAATCCAGAGAAGGGTGATCACCTACCTAGAATTCTGGAGGGACTAGATAGACAAAATATGCCAATTCATATATATATATGAAATTATTAAGAATAAGATAAAAATCTATAAAAAAAAACATAAGAATGGAAATCTATAGAAAACATCATTCTGGCAACAAATTTTAAGAGCCATAAATACTCTAATGGAAGTTGGATCGATTTAGAGGTTCGAATTAAGAAATTAAATGAGGTCACTAAAACAGAAAATTAAGTAATCATTTAAAAGTAGAGACAATACCTCTTTAGCTAGCGATACTAACAAACTGAAATACGATGGCAATTGGAAACTCGATTGAGGAGCGAATTCAGTGGATGATCCGTCATGGCGGAAATCTGCAGACGAGGAAGATCGAGAACCGCAGATTAGCAAATAGGCAAAGAGGAATACAAAGTGATATTGATAACGAGCTGCGATTACCAAATTATCAAATCCGCAGGTCGGCGAGTTTCTCTGAGGGAATGAAGCTGCGATTCTTTTTCAGAAGTGCTAATGGAATAGCTTAGGTCAAACCTTATTTGGTATAAGTGTATAACACGCCACTATCTTCTACTTTTTTAATTTGAAAGTTTTTTATTGTTTGATAATTTGTGACCATTTATTTGATAAAGTGTATGTCAGCATAAATACTTTAATTTATGTAACCGTCAATTTAAAAAAGAATGTCAACAAAGGTCTAGTCTAGCTTAATAAATACGGAGTGGAATACTTTGTTTATGTTCGGATAATATTATTTACACATCAACAAAAATTAAATAGTTATCTTGTCACATATATGTGTCAATATATATTAGTTATTATGACACTTTTACATGTGTCAACAAAAGTGTGTGTCAAGAAATGTAACATTTCTTGTAGTGTGTAGAACATGGTCAATTTTATCACAGAAGTTCATGTAGAACTGGAAAGCAAACTCAACAGTTAACATAGGCATGTTCTTCCTTCAAAAATAAATAAATAAACTTTCAAGTCTAAGAAGACAAATTTCTCCATTAAAAGTAATTCCAAAGTCAATGGTTGAAGATCAAAAAGTAAAGCAAGCTAACCCTATGATATTCAAGTGTGTCCCCAGCTGCCTTACGGACATCCACCATATGCAGAAATGGGGCGACTTGGAACGCCTGTGGATAGTGGATAGTGGATAGTAATAGTAATAGTAATAATAATAATAATAATAATAATAATAATTATTATTATAATAATAATAACAAAATAACAAAAATAGTAAATAAATTAAAATTTTAAAAATAAAGGAGTCACCACACATACAATACGAAGTTCATAATGAAGGTCAGAAATCACACTTCTAATGCAATAGCAAACTTACCCTTGTTCGCAGATACACCTTCGATCCGAGTCTGTCAAAGTATTTATAGTAAAAATAAGCTACAACATTATTCAAGAAATACAATTCTGGAAAGAAAATATCATAAACATTTTATCCGAATTTGTGAAGATCGGTTGACAAAAGCAAACCGTCAATTTAACTGATTGACATCAGGTTTGGTATTTTTGTATCACCTGCCCTTCTATTTTAGTGTTTAAGATGGTGAATCATATGGGTAATTTAACACTTAGAGCATGTTAACGATCATTATCTAGATGCAAATATAAATGCTAATTAGTTCTTTACCCTATAGTTAGATGAATGGACCTTTAGTCCCATGGATCTTGCCGCTGCTTCGATTGCAGAAATGATAACTTTCGCAGGCTCACGTTCAGGGGCGGAGCTAGGGGAGGGCCAACCCTGGCCCAGCCCAAATTTTAAAAATGTCTAAATTTTTATTGTAAAAAAATCCGTGTAATTTTTTTCCTAAAAATATTCTTTGTATCGGCCCAGTCCGGCCCAGTGTCCTGGCTCCGCCCCTGCTCACGTTATATAAAGCGGGTTTGCCGCTTGACAAAATCGTTAAGAAAAGAAAAGAAATAGCAGTATGTAAGCTTCTTCCAGATACAACAAAGGCTGGTTTTACTTCAAGGAGGTAGAAAATAAATGCAAATTAAAAGTTAATGTTGGTAGAACAACTCTAATGCATATTAATCAACTATTACAGCTAAACTACCTTCTGTGACAAAATGTCAATGCCAAGATTCAATTGGCATAAAACAATCAGAGGAAACTACCCAACGAAAAAACATAGTAAAGAGGATGAGAAGACATGAACTTGAGTTGTCAATGTACCTGGCACCTGTCAAACAATGGCGACAGGATCAATCATTGAGACAAAGCAATTATTTCAAAAGCGTTCATAACGAAAGGGCCATTTGCAGTACTTCCACACTACTCAGTTACACCTTCATGCTGCATAATTCAATGAACAAGAGCAAATTGTGATTGTTATTATTCAAAGAACAACTGAATATATGTAACACAATTTCTCTCTAAATGCATAAAACACTAACCACTACAGCCAAAACAACAAAAAGAAGGGCAACAAAACAGAAGAGGCAAAAAGTAATACACAGTTTATCAATAGAGCATAAATATTCTTCTACCTGTGGCCCTAAAAAAATCAAACTATTATGAAAGAAACAAATCTAACCTCGGTTCAGGGTTCTGATTCGAACCGTGGCCAGGCGAAAACTCGCTGCTCTGGACAGACACCACTGGACAACTCCACTGACGCCGTCTGATCCGCTGTGCTCTCTCAAACGACGTCCTACTGTTCTGCTCTCTCGAACGGCGTCCTACCGCTATGCTCCTGGAACGCCAGCCTACTCCTCTGCTCGCTCGATGCCGTCCGACAATGAAGGCATGAAGTGGGGGCCAGCAATCGACGCCGAAGCCGGAGCAAGTTTACCTTACTGTCGCATAAATTGCAGCAAGAGTACGCCGCTAGGATTGAATAACAGGTCGATGCTCCCTCTTCCTGAAGCTTGGCTAGGTTTACGTATAACTTCGTATAACTTCAAATCCATCCAGGTTATAATTGATCTGGAATTACGCACGTAATTTTTTTCTTCCCCTTTTTTCTACATGAGTTTTAACCGATGTAAACTAAACTTTCATTGTTTTAAACATTTACCCCATTTCTTTTTTAACATCGGCTCCACAGACAATCAATGTAGAAGATTTGATAAAAATGGTAAAAAGACGCCATGTCAGTTTTTCACATGTGTTTTGAGATAACATATGTAGATAAGGAGATGCAAGAGGCCTTTTTTGCACTAGTGTTTCCACCAGAACTTCCCTTGCCCGGCTGCTTTGTTTTCACCTTTTCTGCCATCAAGATCTTTCCTTTCTGACTGTACCTCTGGAGCATCAGTTGAGCCGGGATTCTCCGTCAGGAATTGTTCCCAGAACAAGTCATTTACTCTTGTGGGTGTCTTAGGAGCAACCCGTTGTACCGTTTCAGGATCTTGGTGTGGGCCCACCTCCAAAACCAGGTTCCTATTTGGCTCAGCATTCATGTCAATTCCTGAAGTCTTGGGTCCGCCATCGTCATCAAGCTGTGTGTATGATGTGGCGGGGCTATCTGCACAGCAACTTGTAGATTCATCCAACTCAGTTCTTGAACTCTCATGGACCTGAACCATTTGACCAACATCTTGAAACACATTCTCCCAGAATATCAAAGACGACTCTAATTGATCTAACAACTCCTTGTTGAAGGTAGGAAGAGTATTTTGGATGATGTCTTCCATTGGTCGATTACTGTTGATGACACTCTCAGCATAGAGGTAACTGCTTCTTGTAAGCCGTCTCTTTCTATAAGGCAATGCCATTTGGGGAAACAGACTTAGCGCCAGCTCTGGTTTATCCAGCAGTTCAGCTAAGGAGGATAGCATACTCCTTTGTCCCTGTTCCACATGCTGTAACTGTTCAGTCAACCCGTGCATTTGCAACTCGAGTCCCTGGTTTTCCTGCTTATGTCTTTGAAGTTCCAACTGAATCGTCTCTTTTTCGTGATTCAGCTTTGTGATATCATCCTTGTACCCTTGTCTTTCTGATTCATCCAATGGAGATGAGGCCTGAAGATTATGTGTAGAGTGACTATGAACCGGTTTTCGTCTCTGGATGTTCTTCATAAGTTGCGGTTGATCTCTAACAAAGTCATCATTTGCAAACTCCCATTGCTCAGGATCAACTTTCCTGAATCCCTACACAACAGAAAATAGGTATGTGTGGTTAATCGTCATCATCACCATTACTACTAGGGGTCAGTAATATAGTATCAATTAACTTGGTTAATAAAAACCCAAAACCAGAAATTGAAGGGGAAAAACTACTGACATAAGTATTCAGCTGTCTGATAAAGCTGGAGAAGTTGTTATGCTTGAAGTATCTGGGCAAGAGATCTCTCGAAAATTCTGGCGGGTTCCAAACAATGAAACTTCGGTTGCTCTGACTCCAAGAGACGATAGGGTCGGTTGAGGAGTTATCCACCATTTCATATGTCTTCGCAAGGAAAGGAGGAAAAGCATTTGAAGCTTCATCCATTAAATTTGACAACACCCTGAATATTGCTCCCTCAAACTGAAAGTTTGAAGATTATATAAAAGCTTCAAAATGCACTCAATATTCACTTCTACACTAAAAGAATTCTTCAGTTACAGTCAACCCAGAAGATTTCTTCAACCAAAACCCTGCAATTCACTCCCCTCTTACCAAAAGCCCATTTAAGGTCCTCTACTTTCTCGCTAAGATCGCGATCATTGAATCTCCCCGCCTCAATTGTAAGCTAAACCGTAAAACGAAACTCCAACAACTCACGAAGGACAAATCCAACAAGAGGAATCACCTGTGGCCACACAGTACAAGATGCAACAATTCCAGAAACAAATTTCAAGAAAAACGGGAATTAAATTTTTTCAAACACCTAACAAACATCAAAGTCTTAACACAAGCCTCTTTCTCCCTATCTTCACGCATAAGCATGTGCACTCACAGTAAGTAATACTAGTATTTTTTGCGAGGACTTGCAGTAAGTAATCACTATATAAAAGCAAAAGATTTTCTCAACAGTACTCCCGCCCAAATAAGTCTACATAAAACGGAAAAAAACTGCTCAAAGACACTGTTTCAGTTCGTGCATGTCAAATTGAATGGAAAATTGGGTCTATATCTCATCAGTATAACTCAATATAATTATTACTTCCCATACTTGGGAAGAGAAAAGAAAACATTGTAAATAATTAACCCAAAGGAAAGAGTTACAAGGATTGTTTCTGTTAATAATAATCACTCTTATACAAGAAACTATAAAAGTGAATCTCACGGTGAGCAACAAATAATGAAGTATGCAGTATAAAAATGCTCAGATCTTTGAATTATATGCCCAGTAATCCTATCACAAGTGTGCTGTAATATTCAAGGTGAAATAGTTCGTGTACAAATACAAGTCAACTAGATCAGATAAAGGAGGCTTTAGCTTTAAAATTTATCTATCAAGTACAGAGGTCACTGTTCACCCAATAGTGAACCACACATCAAATACTTTCTCGGTCTCCCATTTAAGTTTACAATTTGACTTTTTGAGTCAAACTTTGCTAACTTTTAATCAGTCAAAAACTGTACTCCGATTATTTTATAATTCCAAAGTAAATTTGAATGCTTCATTTTGATATATATTATTGAAATGTTAGATTGTTACTCCGGATAAGTGTTTATTTTTACACATCAATGGTCAAACATTAATATTGGAAACCGTGAAATGTTGACTGTAAACTTAATCAAGGGACGGAGGGAGTATAAATAAAAACAATTAAAAGTAATTCTGTGTGAAACAGGCATAGAGGCATTATGTTCCTATAAATAGATGAGGAGAGCACACTACTTTCTCACCCTCAACACATGAAAATACTTCCCTTTAGAAAAATCATATACTCTATATATTCCAATATGTTATTAATATTTGAAAAGGTTAACATCGCTAATGTCCATAATAGATGAGATTGTGGTATTACAGAAACTCGGCATAATTATTTATTTAACAGCCGTGTTTAATAGTGTGAGTAGCTCAAATGTCTATATCATTATATTTGCGAATGATGTTTTTTTGGTACCTCGGGTTGTTATAAAATAGTATTGGTTCTCATCATAAATTATTTGTAGCTACTCCTAGATAAGGGCAAATATATTCTTGATTAATACAATAAGTAAACTTAGAAGTCCAAGTCATTCTGTTTTAAGAGAAAGTCTTTAGCATCTTCTAATATCGGTCAAAAACACATTTATATTATTTATATACTACTCTTTTTATTTAGTTTTATTAGTCTTGCTTCGATCCTATGTATGAAAGAAAATACAATTAAAAACCAAGGTAGGCCATTAGAGCGTGGATAAAAATTATTTAAAATAATGTGTTGTACTGTAATTAGTAGAATATGCTTAATGGATTGGCAAAACACTATATATATATATATATATATATTTGAAATCATTTTGTGTATGATTAGGTGAATGTTTTACTCATTTAAAATTAATAGATACGGAGTATACGGAGTAAAAGGGATGCAATGGTTATAAAGGAGTTCATTTATCCACCAAACATTATAAAAACTGATAAACACATGTAAAAGACTAAAAGTTGTTGACAGAAAACTTGAAGTAATATTTTTTAGAATAGATAGAATCGAAGGGTCTTATTCAAAGACTAATGAAGTGTTCAAATATTAACGAGTCCATTGATATGAGTTGCTCTTTATCGGACAAGAGATAGATGATAGATCAATTGTTAGCAATATGTTTTGACTGGAAAATAAAATAACATTTCATTTAATTTACTAACGGTAATTAATTCTGATTACATACAACAATTATTTCAAAAAAATTCTATGTGATTGCATATTCTGACAATTGGGTATTAAATTGAACTACAGTGTGGACATTACAACTGATATCCAGTTTTTTTGAACCAGTTGAGGAATAAACAGAAACGATATGCTCAATGAAAAAAAAATCTTTCAATTCCATATTAACATTAAAATTTTCAACTTTGAATCAACATTCAAAACTTTTAAACTTTAGCAAAGCCAAGCCTGGAAAATTAACTTATAGATCCAACGCTAATAGTTGTTTTCAAAGTTGTTCTTGCCAGATTCGGAGCTAACAAAAGACTGATACTAACAGTAACAGAAAACATAGATGTATAGCCTGATGTATGACCTTCATCGAACATATGATGCACATATAGAGAAAACATACCAAGACAGGATCTAAAAACAGTAAACCATATTAAACATGCATTTATTTAAGCACAGAGCCTTACCGATCGGCCACTAAAGATGCTTTTACGATATCCGATCTATGAGGGTGTGCTTTTTTATCCCACAATTGTCGAAAGCTGTAGTAGTGGACGGAGAGACTTTGTTTCGGATAGAAGAAAGAAGTGGTAGGATGATGTTGCCGCTTGCCATCAAGGTGGCAATCAGTTATGTGGGGGGTTAACGGGTATGCCGGAAATTATCTAGAAATTTCCGCGCGCCACCAAGGTTGCTCTGCTCCGCGCACCACCGAGATAAGGTGTATTTTTTGTAAAACGATATGCTCATCAGCGCTCATATTGTGCATTTCATTCGCAATGAATCTAACCTTAGAAATCCCTAATAAATCATACAAAATGTGTAACCATAAAGTAGGATCATCAATACATGTAGAGTGAACACCAAAAAGTAAATTATGGCCTAGACCAGCCAGTTGCGGATCCAGGAAAAACACTTATTGGGGGCGGAGTAAGTAAAAGATACATCACAAAATTTTTTATTGTTACGATATTAAAATTTTGAACAAAATATATCACAGTTAATCACACGGAATTTTAATCGTTTGGAAGAGATCCATTATATTTTTAGTACATTAATATTTATTTATTTGTCTACAATAACATACAGAGTTATTTAAAAAAAACTAGTGTCTACTAGATATACAACTATTTCAGTTAAAGGTATATGTATCTGGACTGTTTTCAATTCTAAACCATATCAGACCAGTTCATATCAAGTCACACAAGATGAGACTAGTATAGATTAGATCAGATTTGGACAATTATAAAATACATAGAGACCATATATTTACTAGACCAGACCCGTTCAGACCAGATGAAATCAGACTTGACTAGAAAGTTTTAGTTAATTTAATCAAAACATCCTAAGTCATCAACTAAAATAAGTCTAATGAATTTACATCCATAAACTTAAATAATTAAGAGTAGTCCAATAAGTTTAATAACATTATCTATCATTTATATTTCATTATAATATAAAGTAATACATGGCTTTAGAGTTTAAACAAATAAACAACACAACCACCATATAGAGGATCAACCCAACGATCAACCTAAAAATGCCTCGAGTGCAACACTCCAACATCAAACTGATTAATTGACTGAAGATTCAAAAATCAAGTGATAAAATGTGGTTGATATCTTGGTCCTCTTCCCTTTCCTTGTATCCCCGTTCACGGCTAGATTCAAAAAACTTACTTCTCTAATTGTCAAATTTGAGTTTGGCTGATTCCGAAATCTGAATTTAAGCTACTTAGCCATAAATCCTCAAATTTAAGCTTAGTTAATAGTCAAGTGGGTTTGGGTGATTAAGGAATCTGAATTTCAGATCTTCAGCTTTGAGCAGTGAACACAGCCAGACGACTAGTTGGGGGCAATCGGTATTTTTTATTGGGGGCAAATACATAAACCTTTAATATTTACTAAATAATTATATGGGTTTACTAGGATTTTGTTGGGGGCAGCTGCCTCCATACCTTCCTTATTAGATCCGCCCCTGAGACCAGCCAAGAAGTCGGCAGCCTGGTTGCCCTCCCGATAGATATGCTCAACTTGGGGATAAGGTGTATTGAATATGTATTTGGTGGATTTTTTAATAATTCATGGACATTTTAACAAGTTATAGATTTTTAAGTTCATAGACTTTTCCATATCTTCTTTAGTCTCTATTCATGCCACAATGCTAATACAAAGCTGATCATCAGCAGCTAATACATATGAAGGAGGAAGAGACGATGAAGGTGAAAGAAATGAAGCTCCTAGATCCAAAATCAAGGAGGTATTGGGAAGGAAGGGGCGCAAGGATGAAGATTAAGCTGAAAGTCCAGGCCGGTTCCTATCACCCACCTTGAGGACAAGGTGGTTTTTCAAGGGGGGAGATATGATAGGAACCCATTAGTATAATAATACTAATAATAATAGAAGTATATATAATAAATAATTGTGGCATTGTAGGAAAGGGTCCTGGGCTAGGTATTAGTTAATATTGGGCTGACCCATAATAAGTAAGTATAAATAATAGGGAGGGGGATATGAAGGCAGGCAATTATTCATTTGGACTGGGCATGGATAGGAGACTGGGCATCTCAAATTGTCTGTAGCACTGTACACCTTCCCGATAATTCATCTTTGAGAATAAAGTTTTACGATCTGTTTTTATTCAATTCCTACTGATCTCTATACTGTTCTGAGTATCGATTACCTGTATCCTATCACAATTTTATCAAATAATAGAAACATACTGTCTAAACATACTAAAATAATTATATAGAAATAGTCCAAACATACTCGTCCGTGTAATAAAATAGTTTAAAGGAAAAATTGATAGTAATAATCCCAACTATTGGCGGTCCGCTTATAATAATCCCAACTATTGATTATTTCAGAATAATCCCAACTTTAGGGACCTTCCGCCAATAATGGTCCCTAAGAATAAATTCTTGTAGTTTCTAAAGTGCATGAGAAAAGCACTAGTGCAAAAAAGGCTTTTTACATATATTATCTACATGTGTTAGCCCAAAACCCATGTAGAATACTGACATGGGGTCTTTTTTATAATTTTTATAAACTTTTTCACATCAGTTGTGTATTTAACCGATGTTAAATTGTGAAACGGGGTATATTTTTAAATTTTTCTAAATATTCTACATCGAGTTTTAGTGCAACCGATGTTAATAGAAAAACGGGGTAAATTTTATAATTAATAAAATTATATTTTACATCTGTTAACACCGATGTAGAAAGGGTACAATAAAAATATTCGTTCCTAATTCCAGATCGGTTAATTATACGAGGTATGAATGATGCTATAGGCTGGTTGTAATCGATCCCTAAGTTAACCTAGCATAAATTCAGCTGCCCAGACTAGGACACCGAACTGCGACACCCGCCTGCGGCACAGGACTGTGACACTCGCCTGTGGAATCGATCTGCCACACCCGATTGCGACACTCACTTGCGGCACCGGACTGCTGACATTCCGGCGTCCAGTGCAGGCCACGACTTCGTACCTTCATTGGACGGCGTTTGCGAGCAGGTGCAGTAGACCGACGTTTGTGAATGAGCTGAGCAGTAGGACGCCGTGCGAGAGAGCTTAATGGAGTTGTCTCAGGCAGCTATTTCAGATTTTTCAGTCACCAAACATCAACACGGGTAGAGTCCTCCAGTTAATGTGAGTTTCTTTAAGTTTCTTCAAGTCATCTTTATGTTTATATTTAGTTCTTTAAATCATATCATCGATTTCAGTTTTGTATTCCATGTAATGTGATTTATTAATCTATCTATTTGATGAATTAGTTTGAGATTTATTTCAGTTTCTCTAAGTCACATAAATCAGCCAATGTTTCTTTAAGTGATCTTATTGCTTTCAGTTTTGTATACCTTGTAATATGAATTATAAATCTATCTATTTGATGAATTAACCTGAGATTTATATTGAGTTTCTTTATGTCACATGAATATACCAATGTTTCTCTAAGTAATCTTAATCATTGAGGTCAAGCCAATGAATCTGCAACCTCCCGTGACCTTCGAGGTTAGCGGCTTCCAGTGGAGCAAGTGGTGAGCAGGTAATTCCAGTATCTATAGACCTTCGATAGTTCGATCCGTAGGTAAGTAGGTAACCTAGTTTCTTTACTCTATTTATCACCTTAATTTGCATAGATGTTTGAGAGTAAGGTTTTTTTTACCAAAAGAGTAAGGTTAGTTATTGAGAGTATACTTAATTATTGGCAGTGTTCTAAAAGGCGCTAGGCGCTAGTCGGGCGGTGACTGGCCGCCTAGCGCCTAGCCCGCCTAGACGGGCGCCTAGGCACCGACTAGGGCGCCTAGGTGTTTTCCTTGTATTTCTTTGTTTTATTTTTATTTTCATTGAATTTTAAATATATTACCAAAAATTTTATAATATTTTGACAATAGGAATAGCTCATATAATCATTATACATTATGGTTTTTGTAGAAAAATTATAAATAATAAAATAATTAATAGATGAATGTAGAGATTTATATTTTTAGTCTCTAAAAATGCACATATATATTCTATTTTTTTTAAATATTTCAAAATTATTTTATTATCATAGTAATATGAAACTAAATCATATAGGAATAGAATACTTATTGATCAAACGTTGTTTTAAGTCAAAACGGGGGGGAAAAGTTGGCTCGGGAAAAAATTTAATTCAGACCGCCTAGCCACCGCCTAGCCCACCCAGGCGCCCGCCTAGCCGCCTAGTCGGCCGCCTAGCCCGCATAGGCGCCCGGCCGATTTTTTCGACCGATTACACCAAATTCGGGGCGCCTGGCCACCGCCTAGCGACTAGGCGGCGCCTAGGCGGGCGCCTAGCCCGATTTTTAGATCAATGATTATTGGTATATCTTATTCATACAATCTATATGAATTAAACAATTAATGAAGGAATTAATAAAGGATTTATCCATTCTTTTGCCTCTTAGGGGCTGAATTTTTTTAGGGTCTGAAGGAATTATCAGAACTTTCTTCCTCTCCTTAAACCTTGGACATTGAATCAATGCTCTTCATTGAGGATTTAGAACTATTAATAGAGAATTATATGTGCTTCTCAATTAGCTTTTTTAGCATTATAAATATTTACCCATTCTTGTGCATCGTAGGAGCTAATTTTATTTATTGATACATGTCAGTCGATTGCCAGTGCCAAATGTGGTTGGTAAGCACGTGGTATGATGATATCACCGTGCTAGTCCACCTTCTTTGGTCTGACTGCTCCGTCGGTCACTGCCCCAGCTCTTATATTTTTATGGTAATATTTATCTTTAACTTTTTATGTATTGATAATATTCATTTATTTTCAGTGGATTATATTATTCGATAGATAAAATTTTACTATCTCTATTATGCATTTTGATGTATATATGTATAAATGTATACAAAATGTATTCGCCCCTTGTTACTCACAGGCGTTTTAGCAGATGCATTGTGATAATGGGTGGTGCATGAGAAGAACTTTGAGGTCATAAAGATCCCTTTTGTAGACTGATGTGCTGTGAAGATGGGCTGAACTCTAAAGAGCTAGTATGAGTTTAATAATCTTTCTTTCCAGCGCCGTTTTTTTGAAATGATAAAATAGAAAAATGCATTCAACAGGTGAGTAGCAAATATAATTTCACTCATTTGGGCTAATTTAAATTATTTGGTGCCACCAGATGCATTTGGGTATTTCCAATGCAAGTTGCGATTTGGCGGGCTGGAAGCTGCGATGGGCAAGTGAGCTGCAAGCAAGGTTCACCGGAGGTGAACAAGTAGTCAAGGATGTGAGGCGTGCTGCGAGTTGGGGACCGTAGTCACTGTACTGAATTGAATTGGCGGTAAGCCAACAAAGTATGCGGCTGAACAAACTCTGTGCTTTTCAGCTTTCGGCAATCTGGCTTCTGCGGCCTTCTGCTAAGTTGCTCGCCTCTGCCAGGTAAGTTTATTCTTTTAATTTTTCAGATTTTCGGAAAGCAGGCAGCAGCAGGTTTACTTGTTTAGTTATGTAGTGTTTTGTAAATTCCTTTTATTTGCTTGACCTGAAGTGGTGCAGCCTGCCATTTTTTTTAACTCCAATCTTTATTTAGTTCTTTATTTGTTTTATTGTTTAACTTAGAGTACTTGTTAATAGAAAAGTTGAATCTTTTAATATGATTGATTAATGAGTAATAAGTGATGACTAAATTGACTTTATACTTCGTACATTCATATTTATGTAGTAACATATTTTTTAGAAGTACTTGTTAGGTTTGTTAATGTAGCTGACAAGATTTGAAACCATACACCATAAGTGGATTTATTTAATGGGGTACTTTTCTAACGCTTGCATTGCTTTGTAGTATGTATTTTATTGTTTGATCTTTTCTCATGATGCTTAAAGAATATGGGTTATTGTCATTTATTAAAATGTCATGTTGTTTTATTCAGGAGCCTATGGAAATTAGTATTGAAGTAGAGAAGAGCAATATAAAAAGTAATGAAGAAAAAATTCAAGATGTCTGGGAAAGGACCTTATATTATACCAGAGAACAAGCTACAAAAATTGCAGAATCTGTCCAAGAAATCAAAAAGCGATTTGAGCATGATTGCAAAGGAAATGGACAACGAAAGTAAAGAATATTTTGCTAAAGCTTTGAGAATTCTTCTGAACCTGTAAAGGATATTGTCGAAACATTTGTCTAAAAATATGTATTCATATTTTTATTGCCAAGCCTATAAATTGTTCAAAGTACTTGTGCAAGGCTTGTTTTATTTTAGCTTATTATTATGTACTAAATTGTTACTTAAAGTTGTTTAGCATTTTTGGAAGAATTGAAAAATAGTGTGTTATTGTTTTAGATTAATCAAGTGAACAGGTGCAAAATCGTGCTATAGTAGTTGATGATATTGTTAATGATGTGATTATAGTAAAAATTGGGGTCATATAGCAATTTTCCCGGAAATTTCTACATCAGTTGATAAAATAACCGATGTAAAAGCTTTTCTACATGGGTTATAATCGATGTGAAAAACCCTATGTTCCAGGAAAAAATTAAGCTATTCTACATGGGTCATTTTAGACCCGATGTAAATTCTTCCACATCGGTTATAACCGATGTGGAATACCTTTTAAAATGCCGTTTTGGTCAATCTTCTAGATCGGGTACTGCACGACCGATGTAGAAAGACTTTTCACATCAGTTATAGAACCGATGTGAAAAGTCTCTACTTTTCACATGGGCTGGAACCACATCGGTTGTTCGACCGATGTGAAAAGCCTTTTTTGACCGATGTGAAAAGCCTTTTTTGTACTAGTGAAGATATATAGCAAGTAATGCCTATAAATAATCCCACCTTTTAATTTTTACACTTAATTTCTATTTAAAATTCACTTTTTATAGGAGTTAAATCTGATCATGGACCATTATTGGTGGATGGTCCCTAAAGTTGGGATTATTCTAAAATAATCAATAGTTGGGATTATTATAAGCGGACCGCCAATAGTTGGGATTATTACTATCAATTTTTCCTAGTTTAAAAGGGGGTCATGAATAATAATATCTGCCAATTGGCAATTTCTGCATTTAAATTCCCAAACAATCAGAAAAGAAGCATGCATAAGCGCATAACATAACTTAGAATATTCACCAAGTCTTTTAAAATAAATAAAGTTAATCACAAAGCCAATTTAACAAAACAGGATCTATTCAATGTGTTCCCTTTTCACTTCATGTGTTCCCTTTTCACTTCATGTGTTCCCTTTTCACTTTTCACAGTCTCAACAGACCTCTTCCCAGTTGATTTGCTGGTTGGAGTAACAGCCTCAACATTCACCCCTGAGAAAATCGAATATCAAAGAATTTAAGATCTTTAGCAAGACAAATAAGTTGGAATAACACAAAGAATGGCAGTACTTAAAAGTGTTGAGATAAATTTAATAATTAAATTCGAGTTTGTTTAATCACAACTATATTTTGAATTATACTTGACCTATTTGTTTAATTTACACAAAGTATATAATTACATAATTACATAAATTATTCAATTACGAAGCTAAATTTTGAAACACACTGAAATTATCTTCTGATTTAGAGAAATCTTTTTTAAAGAAAATTAGAAAAATCATTTAATCATTAGGTTGAAATAAATCCGAAATTATTCTATTATGGAGATGTATTTAGTAAATCAAATTCGAATTAAATAATTATTTAATTACGAATATATTCTAAATTAAACTTGACATACAGAGTACTAAATTATTATTATTATTATTACTTAGTGTAACAGATTGTATTTATGTTAAGATTTAATTCCAATTAATTTTTCTCAGCTGACACTTTAAAGCTAAAATACTGTCTACTCATTTTCTCTTAAGAAAATACATGGGCGGGAAGTCTAACTCTATGGCAGATTAATTTCCAATTTTGCCCCTTATTTGGTACTCCCTCGTCCCTAATAATTTTGTCAAGTTTGACTACCACGGGGATTAATAAAGTAAAAACTGTGTGGTTGGGATTTGTGCATAGGAGAGAAAATTAACTGAAACCACCAATTCTTTACTTAAAAGGGAAAGTGACAAAGCTAGTGGGACATACAAAAAATGAAAGTTGGTTATAAGGGACGGAGGGAGCAGCATATTGGACAGTGAAAGTGATTACCACTTTGATACTTTTATACAAGTATATAATAAAGATATCCACATTTTGAAAATATGAATACAGATTAAAGATTGATTATAATAACCTTGGTATATCACGTCGATGAGTAGAATGTTCCAAGTATTTTACAAAATGTGAAATTACTTTTTTCATTTATTATTTGTATTTTATTTTGTACTATATGTTAGGGCCTTTTAGGGCCTGTTTACTTTGAACTTAATGAGCTTAATTGATATGGTAACTTATCCATTCAGCTATATGGTTTCGTTTATTTAGGACTTAATAAAAATTGTGACTTATTCGGTCAGACATTTCCTGACTTATTCGCTCAGCACTCTTTTAGTTGTCCTTACCATATAGACGTTTCCCTCAGCACTCAATTTATTAGACTCTCCCTTTTACCCTGAGTTCTCCTTAGCGTAAACGTTGAAATCTGCCTTCATCGCCACTGGCTTCTTCACTTCTTTTCAGTGGCAAATGGCTCACCTTCTTCTTCTTCTTCAACGTATTCTCTCTAAACCCATTCCATCTCCAACAACGTATAACGAAAGCAGCAACCAAAGGCCAACTATATCCCCTGTCTTCTTCATCTAGGTATTCTCTCTACATTTATATTTTTCTTCTAATTTTTTAAATTGAAGAGTTTGTTTATATGCTCAATTTCATCAATTTCAATTTTCTGGAAAGTATGCTTCATATACTACGATTTTTAGTATAATAAAGGAGTACTCCTTGACATTCAATTGAAATCTGAGGGACAATTTTCTTCATAAAAACAATTCGTAAAAATACTTTAACTGGATTTATAGTTTCGAATTATATACGGAGTAGATGTGTGTGTGGAGTTACTTTCATTTTGAAAGTAGTTCAATCAAAACTAGCAACAAAAATATTACCAAGAATCCCGTCAAGCAAAAACCACCTTCAAGTTGGCCACCTCATTAGACCCCTCTCTCTTAAGAGTGCAGGACATCTGTATAATACAGTCCTATTAGTTTTCTTTATTTTATTGTATGTGTAGTGCTACTGGAAACAAAAGTCAGGCCTTTTAACTTGTTTATTTTGAATTATTTTGGTATACTGTCATTGTTTAGGTATGGATAATGAGGCAATATTTAACAATGAACCAGGAGGATGAGGTGAAATTCAAGAAAGCGGAGAAGAAACAGATGGAACGCAATGGGGCATCGAAACCATACAATATATGACGAATTTACGGGATGAAGTGGCTAATAGATTAGTAGGAATTGCATAAATAAATATGTTGTCAAAATATTCTTGAATTTGTTTTGTTTGGCTTTGTGAACTTGTTTGCTCATTAATTTAATATTATCGTAAATTTTATGCAATATCATCTGGAATAGTAAAAGTGGAATAGTAAAAGTAAACAGACGATATATATTCAGCAGAATCAACACTTGTTACAGGCACAAGGATAAATTGGTAATTGAATATCATTCAGACGATACATTCAGCACACAATGTAAACAACTTGTTATACTAGTGTCACTTATTCCAGACAGACGTCTTAATACAGACAGACGTCTTAATCCAGACAGGACTTAATGAAAAAAAAAAGTAAACAGCCCCTTATTTTAATTACCAACAGGGCCTCCTATTTATCAGGGTCTTTTATTTTATTTTTGAACAGGGCCTCATATTTATCACGGCCTGTCCTGATCCCAATCCTCAAAATTGAACGCCATAAAAATTGAACGCCATATAATTATTTCAAGGCCATCCCTCACACACGCAACGAGGACTGTGAAGAAGCACTTGACAGTAATGGCAGCAATTTTAACACCATTTCCGTCGTATTCCGTCCCCCCAAGGCTTTCGGTGCCCGGTCAACAAGCTTTCCTTGTAAGTCATCTCATTCGCAGCTCTACAGTTTCCAGGAAACACATCTCCTTCAGAGTTCAAGCTGCAAAGCTTCCTGCCGGGGTATCTCTCTCACGTTTCTCCTCTTTTCCCCCAAACATTGAATTCATGATACAAAAGGATGTCTGATGTGCACACAATTCTTCAGGTGGAATACCCAAAGGAACAGCCAAAGCTTAAGCCCCCATTTCTGGGTTTCACCAGAACTGCTGAAATATACAACTCCAGAGCTTGTATGATTGGCCTGATTGGAACTTTCGTTTTAGAACTGGTCAGTTACTGATTCTTTACGCAATGTTTAAATCTGAGAAAGTTGTTGATAAGGGAAACAAAATGCCAAGAAAAATTGTTTTCTTATTGTTCGCTGTTTAGAACAATTGAAACAATGCATAGTATTAATCTCATAAATTGAAAGATTTTCCTCATATTTATATAATGCAATAAAAAATGTCGAGGAAAGTAAAACATTGATTCAAATCAATTATTAGCTTATAACATCCCCAAATATGGTTAATTTAACAAATCTATCATATTCTTTATTTTTGATTAAAAAGACTCAAAGTTCATCATTTTCAGAAATATACTTTCTTTGAATTGATTACTACTAATAATATTTAAGGATTAATTCCCATATTTATTCCATAATTTTTACTCGGAACTATTCTTTCTTGTATAATTAATTTTATAAATACTCTTTGTGGGTGAGAAACTAGAAATATTACAATTAATTTGCAAAAGCATCCGGGGTTCAATTAAAGGATAAAAGGTCACACAACCGAAAAAGAACTCAAGCAGACTCCCAAAGATCAATGTAAATTTTGGTCATTGATTTTAAGACATCTGTTGCATTATCTTTTATTTCAGATATTGAATAAGGGAATACTTCAGGCTATTGGGGTGGATGTCGGGAAAGGCCTTGATCTTCCCTTATGAGAACGTATTGGTGTGTTTTCCATTCAAGCTCCCTTGTAAAAGCACAATGTTTCTTATTGGTTCCCTTCAAAAATATGTAAATCTGAATTCACTACTATTACTACTAATACTGTCATCTGATCATTCTTCTTTTCTTCCATTTCGTTAAAGCTATTAAATATCTTGACATAGACATATAGCCGCATACACATAGTGACATAGGTTCACACTAGAACTGAGAGAGATGAAGAGGTAAGGGAGCGCACAATCTGTGCAGGAGATGATGCACAAACTGTGAAGGGAGCAGGAAAGGAGACCATATGATCTTGCATATTCTGACGTCTTGACATCTATAACAGTTACTTTAGAAGAAGAGTTAGATGATGGTGGTTCGAGTGCCTGAGCTAAGGATAGTGTGGGCTTGCTCCAAGCAAATTCAGCTCAAAGCTTTGAGAAATTTTAAACAATGACATTGAATTTTAAATAATGACATGAATATTTAAAAAATGACATTATATTACATTTTCATATAATGACGTTGATTTTTAAACAATGACATTATATTACATTGTCATATAATGTCACAATATAAAAAATGTCGTAATATCAAAAAATAATTATGACTATCAATATCAGTGACATAAAATGACATTCTAATAATCGCAATGTCAATGGTAGTGCCAATGACGTACTGTCCTACAATGTGAATGTTAATGCCAATGGCATTGTAAAAACAATATCAATGATATAAAAATGACATTTTTATAGAAAAATAAATTATTGAATGAATTATAATGTCATACGACAAGGTAATATACAATATGTCATTATTTGACAATGAAATGATAACATAGTTTTAAAAATAATACCATTGGGTGAAAAAATAGAAAGCTAAAAAGGAAAAAATATGACAATGTTCACATGACATTATCTATTTTACTCACACTATCTAAAGAAAGCAAAGTTCAAATATCCAAATAGCCTGATGGGCATCGAACCAATTAAAGTCCCCAAGCCCAGCAAAATACTTCAATCCCAATTCAGAGCTTCCAGGGTGCTGGCCTAATGAAAGTCCATCCCCTTTCTGTGTCCAACAACGGGTGGGCCAAGAGACAGCCAAGTAGCCTCGTTGATCCAGTGATTCGAAACCTGGGAAAACAGCCCAGTCCAATTCCCCGACCTGAACATCGCAACACACCCTAGCATACAATGCGCTGCGCCAGCAGTCAACAACCTCAGACACGTGGGGGGACACATACAATACACACAATTTATACGGTACACTCTGGTCTATGTGTACACTCGCTACTTTTGTAATATATTACAACTCTAATGGCAAAAATTATATAGTCTGTTGCTCCTAGTGATGGATCCGGGCCGGGTCGGGCATTAATGAATATTTGAGCAGCATTGACGTAGCATCAATGAATATTTGAGCACATCGAATACTTGAAATGAGCTTTTGAATTTTTTTTTATGCTCATTTTGTAAATTGTGTATACTCATTCAATACTGGTTATATGTGCATTTTAAAATGTCATACTTATTACATTAGATTCATATATTGAAATTCATAAGTGTTGATTATAGATGTAATTTAATAAGTTTTTATAAAAGAAAAAATAACAAAAAGAAAGTGAATTAGAAGTTATGAAGTAGATATCACGATTCTCAATATTAGACTCCAAATATTCAACAAAATATGTCTGATGCTCATCAAAAGTTCATTAATCCTCATTCAACAAAAAACGTGATTTTCATTTCAATAGCGGAGGTTTGATGCTCAATGAAAATGTCGTAATATTCAACTAACAAATCTTACGATTTTTGTATCAATGCGTATTTTGTATGTTATGTATACTCATCTGGTACTGATGTTATGCTCATTTTAAAAATGTCATATCAATGCATATTTCAAAATTATTGTATTGCGTTATATTCACATATTGAAGTTCATAGGAGTGGATTATAGATATAATTTAATAAATTTTTATAAAAGAAAAAAAATAAGAAAACGAAATCGAATTAGAAGATATGTAGCAGAGATCGTGGTGTTCATTATTAGGCTCATAATACTCAATAGAATAGCTCAGATGCTCACTGAAAGTATACTAATGCTCAGTTTGCGCAAGCCGTGATTTTCCCCTTAAATTACAAAAATGCCACCATTAAAAAATGGCTCTTAGTTAATTGGTTGTCTTCATTAGTTGAGATGGATGTACATTCACCCGGATGTAGGATATAAAGACTCAACAAGACAGGTCGTCCGCTCAGCTTTCGTGCCATCAGTTGTCGTCGACGATCGACGGTCCTTCGACATCGTTTCCAGCGGTCAATTCTGATCCTCCAAACAACCTATCACAGGTACGAACCACCAAGACCTAACCATCATATTCCCCCTATCTGAACCACCCCAAATGAATCTGGTGACGTCTAGACAATCCTGGTGGCCGATGGTAAGAGAGAAGAAAAGAACCAGCCGGAAAAACAACAAAGAGCACAGTCGTCCACCAATCCCCCCCTACACCATCGTGAATCCGACACTTGAAGGAATCTCCGGTAGTCATCCACCAAAGCCCTCTGAGAAGGAAACGTCAGACTCTCTATTTAATGGACGGCTGTGATCTTTGTTGGATATTGATGGAGTATATGGCCCATTCAATGCGGTAAACGTACCACTGCCGGTGCCAACCGGTTGATGTGACCCTTCGGCCGTTGGATTATTGACATGTGTCCCCTCATCGCATTTATTGTTGCTATAAATAGCAGCCCATTTCTCCTTGTAAGACATCATCTACATCCCAACTCCACATCTCGAGTTCATTTAATAAAATCGACTCTCTCTCCTCCTATTTGCTCTGACTTCTCTCTAGTTATTCCCATAATAACCCCTCGGATAAGATACCCCCCGGGTAGATTGTCCATCATTTGGTGCTTTCATTGAGAGGTCTGAACTATCAAGTAAGAAACCCTCCCCCTCTACCAAATACAAAACACTCACCAAAAATGGGAAGAACCACCCGTGCCCAGTCCAAAACCCTTGAGGAGAACCACGTAGCCCCCGGCGAAACTAACGGGGCTGAGGCCTCCAACAGGCTCTTAGTACCCGAGGGTGGTATCATCCTCGAATTAGAGCAAGCCACCGCTGACCTACGTCAGCAGCTGCAGAAGAACACCCCTGATGCCCGCATTGGCCTTGATAATCGAAGGAGGGATCGGAGTGAGAACCAAGTTCCCCCTCCGGCCTCGGCCATCGATGTTCAGGCTGCCTTTGCGGCCTTTGTTCAAAACATGGCTCTCAATTCCGGAGCCCTCGCCTCTCAGGCACCCCTTCAGCCTTACGCCGGAGGAAACGTTATTCAATTACCACCGCTCCCTCCTTTGTTCAACAACCCTCCCCCGGGGGTTGGCAACCGCGAGGGGGTCATAGTGCAGGATACCACCTCCCAGGAGGCTCAATCCAGGGACAAGCGCCCCATGATGAAGGAGAAACCCCGGACCTCTGCACTTGAGAGGCTAAGGGGAGCTCCCGGACACCGAGGGGTCCAAGACCGACTCGGGAGACAAGCGCTTAGCAGACCACAGGAAAGCGGAGCCTCCGCTTTGGGTGCCGAGGGCGTGCCTCCCCCCCGAAGCAAAGGCAAAGCTCTCCTCCATGCCGATGACGCCAGGCACCAAATCACACAGGCGCAATCCTTCCGGGCCAACTCCCAAGGGGTTGCCCCGAAGGATCCCAAGGACGAAATCATTGAAGCCCTCCTCCGTCAACTCGAGGAGAACCGTCAGGCACCCCCGACGGTTTCCACAGCGAGGCCAGATCCGGAATACGCTGACCTCCGGGCACAAGTGGAGGAAATGAAGCGTAAGCTTGCCGAAGGCTCAGGCGAGCCCCTCATCCAACTCCGCACCAGAACACCCTTCACCCCAAGGGTGCTGGCGGCCAAGATTCCCCAAAAATACCGGGGGCAACCTATCAAGCCGTATGAGGGGAAGACGGATCCCCAAGAGCACTATAGCCGTTATCAAAACAGCATGATGATGATGGGGGCGTCGGATGAATACTTATGCCGTTGGTTCCTTTCCACCTTGGAAGGACCCGCGTATGAGTGGTTCAACCGGTTACCCGAAGGCAACATTGATTCTTGGCAAGAACTTGCCCACCGCTTTCTTACACAGTTTGCCGGGAGGCATCGCTCAAAGAAACACTTCTCCCACCTCCTGAACGTGAGGCAACAGAAGGAAGAAACCCTTCGGAGTTTCTTAGAACGCTGGAGGCAGGCCTCCCTCGAGGTCGAAGGCGCTGATGACAGGACACTAATGGCCCTCTTCCACACCGTCCTCCGCAACGGTAACTTCTCCCGGAGCCTTATCACTGATCCCCCCCCGCGATTATACGAAGGCCCTTCAGCGGGGGGACCGATATGCTGAAGCGGAGGAAATCGAGAAGGACCGCCGCAACACGGATCCTTCTCAGAAGAATGAAGGCAGGAATCGGCCCGGAGGGCCTCCCCCTCCGGTCAACCGAGAAGCGCTGTACAACGATCGCTCCCGGGGTGGCCAAGCCAGACCCGGGGGCGGTTACAAGAACAATCCGAAGGCTTGGGCGCAACCCGTCCTCCTGGAGCACCCACGCACTCCCCTGACGCACCCCGTCAGCGTCATCTTGGACCATGCAGAAGAGCGAGGGCTAGTGGAGCGAGACTCCCGTACACCCCTCGAGATTTATGCCATCGGTCCTGATGAGCCCTACTGCCGCTTCCACCGCCACCATGGACACAAAACCGACGACTGCCATCAGCTGAAGAACGCCATCGAGAGGCTAATACAGGCGGGGCACTTGTCTCAATTTATCAGGGGCCCTCCTCCCCAGGGCCCCCTTCACAATCAAGGCCCTCCGCCGAAGGCAAACAAGTGGGTGAACCCCAACACCATCCCCTTGGGAAACCCACAGGGGAAGAAGCGTGAAATTGGGGGCCTCGATGACGAAGGAGAGGGCTCCCATCAACAATACAAGCGCCATATCCATATGATCAACGGCGGCAACACCGGAGGCGATTCAACAAGCCAAAGGAAGAAGTGGGCACAGTCCCTTTACATTGGGGAAGTCAATCACATGCCCCCAACTAAAAGGCTGAGGGCGGATCCAATCTACTTCACAGATGCGGACCTC